CCACACACACACACAGGGCCTCTCTGCACTACTCTGGAAAGGTGCAAGACGACAGTGAATCTTCCGCTAGAACATGGACAGATACAACAACATGATTTTTGTCTTTTGTGCATTTCAAGAGTAGTGCAGCGAGGCCCATAGGGTCTCCCTCCACTACTGCACTACTCTTGACATGCACAAAAGACAAAAATCATGGCCACGTATCTTTCCATATTCTAGCGGAAGATTCACTCTCGTTTCGCACGTTTCAAGAGTAGTGCAGCCAGGCCCATAGTCATGCCTTTTTTTTTTTTTTTGTCTTTTTTTGAGTGTATAGCGAATATATGACAACAACACACACAGGGCCTCGCCGCACCACAGTCGAAAGGCGAAAAAACACGACGGCTGTCAGAACAAATTCGACAGCCTCCATTCGACAGCCTCCATTCGACAGCCTCCATTCGACAGTTTGCCCCCCTTAAGCCACGCAGCACTGTAGAGTGCACGCACTTGTGAATGCAAGATGGAAAAAGACGAACGCGCCAGAGGGTACGACAAGCATTAGTCCATCCCACCCTTAGAGGCTCGCCACACAGGCTGTCGAATGTCGAAAAATTTTGACAGGTGTCAGAAAATTTTCGACAGTCCGGCCGTCGACAATTTCGCCCCCCTTCGCCACATAGCCTGTCGAGGGGCGAGGTTGTCGAAATTTGCCAAGTCTCGACAGGTGCTGTGTGGCGAAGGGGGTCTTCTGTCGGGAGTTGTCACATGGATGAATTTGTGCGTGCAAGCGGACCAGATGCAGACACTGTTTAAGACAGCCACTGTTGACTACATACGGACAAACAGACCATGGCTGTCAGGGAGCAGTCGGTGACAATGCAAATTCGAATGCAATTTTCGAAAGCCCGGCGGGGCACTGTCGAATTTCCTTCAACTGCAGGCGGGAGGAAAAGGTTGCTGGAGGGCTGCTGTCGAAAGGACCATTCTGACACCTGTCGAAAGTTTTTTGAGCCGCAATTCTTCGAAAGTCTGTGTGGTGATGCAAAACTGTCGAAAACCCGGTTTTCGACAGCCTGTGTGGCGAGCCTCTTACCCCCGCTCACCGAATTTCGAAGAGAAGTCGACGGCGCAGCCGAAAGCATGGGAGTAGCAGGCTGGGGATTCAACAACTTTAGAGGCTCGCCACACAGGCTGTCGAAAGTCGAAAATTTTCGACAGGTGTCAGTACATTTTCGACAGTCCGGCCGTCGATAATTTCCCCCCCTATCGCCACACATCCTGTCGAGGGGGCGAGGTTCTCGAAAGTTGGCAAGTCGAAGCCGCCTTTCGACAGGTGCTGTGTGGCGAAGGCGGTCGTTGTTAAATGGATGAATTTGTGTGCGGATGGGGACCAGATGCCGACGCCGTTTTCAACAGCAACTGTTGACTACATACCGACAAACAGGCCACGGCTGTCAGGGAGCATTCTCTGACAACGCAAATTTGAACGCAATTTTCGAAAGCCCGGCGGGGCACTGTCGAATTTTTTTCACCTGCAGGCGGGAGGAAACCGTTGCTGGAGGGCGGCTTTCGAAAGGACCATTCTGACACCTGTCGAAAGTTTTTTGAGCCGCAATTCTTCGAAAGTCTGTGTGGCGATGCAAAATTGTTGAAAACAGGGTTTTCGACAGCCTGTGTGGCGAGCCTCTTAGACAGGAGCTGTCGAGAAGCATGCTCTGACAACTGGAGAATCTTTTTCCCGTCTCCGTCTTCGACAGCCTGTGTGGTGAAGAGGAACTGTTGAAAATTGCATTTTCGACAGTGGTGCGGCGAGGCCCCCAGAACAAGAGAGAGAGAAGAAGCAAGAGAGAGAGAGAGAGAGAGAGAGAGAGAGAGAGAGAGAGAGAGAGAGCAAAGTGCCTGAGCAAAGTGTCTACAGCTGACGTTGTTTGAAACAGATACATTGACTCTGAAAAGAAATTTAAACCTTTTTATTTTCTTTTTTTCGACCCGCAGGTAACTCTAAGGTGTCTTTACCAAAAAAAAAAAAAAAAAAAAAAAAAAAAAGAAACACTCAGAGGGTCAGAGTTGCCTTATTTGAAGTTATTTCTTTTCTGAGCCGCTGTCAGTGAGCCAACTGCTATCAGATAACTGACATCCTTCTTTCTTCCCTGTGCAGTTGGCTCAGAAATTCACTTATCCAACATCGTCAAGCACAACTGTTATTTCAATTAACAAGTCAAGTGCACGCGCACCCAGCTCGAATTTCGTGCACCCAACTTTTTTTTTTGAGCAGAAGATTGCAAAACAATCACTTCACAATTTGCCCAAGCGGGACCTTGGCCCCGGACTAGATTGGTAATATCAGCCTTGGGCACTACAAACATGTCATCCTTGCGCAGGGGCAATGCTAATCTTTATTCTCTGTATCAAAAAAAAAAAAAAAAAAAAAAAAAAAAAAAAAAAAAAAAAAAAAAACCTTCGCTGTATCGTTCCAATCCTTTTAACGGATGTCCCAAAGGACTAAAAGGTACTACAAACGTCAAAGACTCAAAAGTACTAATCTAGTCGTTTTTTTGGAGAAAGGGGGTACTTTGTTTGGAACAAGGGGGTACTTTGTTTGGATGCCCAGTGCCCAAGGCTGATATTACCAATCTAGTCAGGGGCCAATGTCCCACTTGCAAAAGGAATGAATATCGACATTCTCCAAAAAAAAAAAAGGTCCCCACCTGCACAATAAAAAAGATCAACGGTCGAAATCTCCTAATTTGGGCAAGAGGGACCTTGGCCCCGGACTACATTGGTAATATCAGCTTTGGGAACTGGGCCCGTTGTTAAAAAAAAAAAAGAAAAAGAATGGCCGGTCATTATAGCCGTATGTGGTGCAACTTCAGGTCTAAATGCATCGATGATAAATTGATAATAACCGGGCGTTCTATACGGGTGAAGACGGCAGCAGCGTTGTGCGGGTTGAGGAAAATGAACGCGATTTTCAGCACATCTCCACAAACACGTCCAGATTCAGGCGTTGAGAAAACTCAAGGTTGCCAGTGGGACTTGGGTCCGCCTTGGCAGTGAATAGAACACGCAGACTCGTCATTTCTTTTTTTCCTTCTTTTTTTTGCCTTTTTAAATAGGCGCGGCGAACTCAGGGGAGAAAGCAAACGGAAAGAAAAGACACCTGGGGACACCTGGGGCCAAGTCCCAGTAGCAGCGTTGAGCTATACCTCAGCGCCTGAATCTGGACGTGTTTGCGGAGACGTGCAGTTCAGGAAACTCAACACCATTTCTGCACATCTCCGCAAAAGCGCCCAGATTCAGGCGTTGAGGTAGCTCAACGCTGCTAGTGGGACTTGGCCCGGGCGAGGTCCCACGAGGAAAGAGGATTGGATTGAACGCCTGAATCTGGCCGAGTTTGTGGACAAGTGCAAAAACTCGAGATTGAACTCCTTCTCTGCATCTCTGCCTAAATCCCGCCAAGATTCAGGATCTTAATCCAATCCCCCTTGCCAGTGGGACCATGCTCCTGTTGAAATTGCAACCACACTTCAAAAAAAAAAAAAAAAAAAAATTGCAACGACCACTGAGAA